GGCATTCATGCATTTTAATCACAAATTATAATTCATGGAACTCCATCATGGCCAATTTAATATGCCATGAGTTATTTGATTAACTCAGTGGGATAAGGGGTACACCTCTCTAACTTTATTTCCTGCCACTTTTCCCCTCCCTTCCCTGCTGATCCAGAACATGAGTAGCAGGCTCTCACCTCAGGAACTTTACACATCTCATGCCATCTGCCTGGAACACTACTCAGCCCTACACCAGACATCACACACCTGAGTCTCATTTCCTTCAGGTCTTGGCTCAAATGATATCGCTGTGAGGACTTCACGACCACCTTATTTAAGTGATAATCCTCTGTTTCCCTGAATTTCTTACTACATTTATCTGATTTATTTTTCTCCTTGGGCACCTTTCATTATCTGATATACAATATATTGTACTTATTTATTGATAATTTACCTCCAACTAAAAGACAAGCTCCATAAGAGCAGAGATTTTTTTTATTTGTTTTGCTTTTTGCTATATCCCCAATAATATCTGGCACAGAGTAGGCACCCCATAAATAATTACTGAATGAGAATGAATATTTACATCATGAGTATTTTTTTAACCTCTTGGTCTCCAAAACCTAGCTCTTAAGTTACTGATGTATGTGGTTCAAATTTGAATCATTCATAGCCCTATGGCCAAAGCAGATATAAACACGAGCCCAGGGGAAAAAAAAAAAAACCCTAACAGTGCATATTTCTTGTTATCTCTTCCCACTAGATGCCTTTTTATATCACTTCCCATCCCAGGCTCACTCTCTCCTGTCTCTCAAATGCATGAAAATGAAACTTTCTGAAGAATAGCTCATGCACTTAGAATTCATATTCAACTCATTTTCTCAGATTTTAATATATCCCAGATGCCATGCTAGGTATACAGGAATCAAAAAAATAAGAAGACAGATCTGGTTCTTGCTATGACAGAGTTGGTAGTGTCAAAAGGCTTTCACTCTAACTTGCTTCCAGAAAACAGAATTAATCTTTCATAGGAGAATATGAAGGCCAAATTGAGACCTTAAGAATGAACAAGAGGCCAAGTGTGGTGATGCACTTCTGTAATCCCAGCACTTGGGAGGCTGAGGCAGGAGGAATGCTCTAAGTTCAAGACCAGCCGGGGCTAAAGTAAGCTCAAGGCCAGCCTGAATTGCATAGCAAGACCCTGTCTCAAAAAGACAAAAAAAAATTAAAAAGAATGAGCAAGAGACCAGGCATGGTGACACCACATATAATCCCAGCACTCAGGAAGCTGAGGCAGGAAGATCACCATGAGTTCAAAGCCAGATTGGTCCACATAGTAAATTCAGCACCATCCTGAACTACCAAGCAAGACCCTAACACAAACAAATAAACAAAGCAGCCACAACAAAAAATCAACAAGAGATGAAGGGGAAATTTTGAACAGAGTAGATTAAAGCAGGTACCAGCAGATTAAAAATATTGTACCAGGTGGCAGAATAACAGCAGCTTCAAAGGACCGTTAAGGTTTCTGTCTAGTTGTCCCCCAAAAGCCTCATGCAGTCATGGGGCAGACTTCTAGAGGCTGTGATTAATTCATGATCCAACGCTGGGATTATGGATGTGACTGCTACACCTGGCCTGGGCAAATAGCCTGGATACAGTATAAGGAAGAGAGAGAGCTTTGCTCTCTGCCTCTTCCACCACAGTTGCTGCCACTGCTCCTTCCTTTTTGCCCTTGCTAGTGTGATGTTTTCCACCACCATGAACTGCGGCCCTCTGCCATATGCCACTGTGCCTTGGTGTGGTAGTACTGGTACTACCAGCTAGTAGCTGGTACTACTACCAGCTAACTGAGTATGGCCTGAAACCTCCACAAATTGTGAGCTAAGTAAACCTTTTCTTCCTTAATTCTGGATGTTAGGCATTTTGTCTCAACAATGAGAGAAAAGTAACTGAGGCAATATGGATATCACTTTGCAAAAAGCAAGTGTGGTTTGATGTACAGGAATTGTGGAATTTTCATAGAGCAATGGTGAGATCTGAAGTAAGATGCACAGCAATGGCCAGATAATTCAGGACTTGTAGGCCATACCAAGCAAACTGATTTTTGGAACTTAATCCTGAGAGTAACAGAAACCACAGACAACTAAAATTTTAATTCCTCTCTATCCCCTAACAAACCCAGTCCTGACTTTCCTTTATTACCACAGGCATCTGAGTCCTATCTACCTCCTCCCAAACCCTCTCTGCTGTTCTAGTGTTTCAGTACTGGGATTACAGACATGTATGACCATGTACTAATACCAGGCCATTTATTTTCTTAATGACATTATTGAGGTCTGGTTACATGCACACCATTTTAGTTCCATGTTTCAAATTTATGACAAAGTTACACACTTGTGAACCACCATCACAATCAAGATATGACTGACTTTTTCCAAGAATTTCCAAGAAATTGGAATTTCCAAGAAATTCCCCGGGCCTCAACCCAGTCAGTCCCATATGTCTTCCTGCTGTTCAACCCCAGGGATCCAATTTTTCTTACCTTTGTATGCCTGTGTCCTGTCTTCTCCACTTCACTGAGTTCCCAGGGGACACAGACACTTCTTAAACAACTCTACATCATACCACACCCACTTAACACTGACTCAAATGGATTTTTACTGAGACAAGATAGAGATAAATACAACCTAGCATAACTGAGCCTATTTGTACACCCTACACACCAATACTTATATTGTACTATAGTAACCCTTCCTTCTAGAGGACAATGTTGATATGTACAGGGTCTGTTGACCCAGGTTTCTCTCCTTCTTCTCCGTTGTCAACCCTCTCTCTGAGTAACCTGTCTCTAACATTTCTCCTAATGGCAAAAGAAACTCATCCTGAAGCTTGTTCAAACTTCAAGATACCAGAAAATGTTAATCTATGGTAAGAGAAAGCAAATCAATGGTTACCTAGGCCTGAGGGCTAAGGAGAACTGACTGGGTTGAGGCCCAGGGAATTTCTTGGAAAAAATCAGTCTATATCTTGATTGTGATGGTGGTTCACAAGTGTGTAACTTTGTCATAAACTTGAAACATGGAACTAAAATGGTGTGCATGTAATCAGACCTCAATAATGTCATTAAGAAAATAAATGGCCTGGTAGTAGTACATGGTCATACATGTCTGTAATCCCAGTAATTTAAAGGGCTGAGGCAGGAGGATTGCAAGTTCAAGGCTAGTCCGGGCAACTTTGTAAGAGCTTTCTTAGAATATGAAAAAATTAAGAGGGCTAGGGTTTTAACTCAGCACTCTCTGGGTTAAATTCTCAGTACTGAAAGACTGAAAATAACAGATTAATAATTTGTCTGTGTATTAAGGCTCAATAGATCCAAACAGTAGAGGGGCTTCAAAATAGTTCAATCTTAACATAAAACTAGGATATGGCCATATGGGAAGTCATTGCCCTATCGCCGTAGAATTTTAAGAAAGAGGTTCATCTCTTACAGAAGGCCAGGTAAAAGAATCAGGAAAGCCAATTAACAAGGAAGAGGCCAAACCAAAATATATAAAGATATAAATAGCATGGATATAGATATGATCTTCTAACTTTGATATACCGAGGCATGAGTGGAAAATTCAGAATCAGTAAGGAATTAATAAGTAGAAGTTCTGCTTTACAGAACTAGAAACAGTACAATAGCCTCATAGTGGTAAATCATGAAGTTTTTGTTGTTTCATTTTTGTTTTTTTTTTCAGACAGGATCTTGCTATGTAGTTCAGGCTGGCCTCAAACTCACAGCAGTCCTGCCTTAGCCTCCCACCTTCTAGGATTTCAGGCATGTGCCACCATGCACAGCAAATAATAAAGGATTCACCGAAGAAGAGATTTGTGAAGGACTGAGTCAATCCTTTATTACCACAGAAGGCTCATCAAGAAGCCACAGCTACCTTGTTTTTCATGGTGGTACTGGGGAGAAAAGCAGAACTCTGCACTCAGTGGGCCAGCAGGGGGTGACTTGTGTTTCCTGTGAGAAGGGTGGATGTCTGGCCAGGTAGCAAGAGGGATACAATGTTCATAGAGTTGAATGAGTCACAGGAGTGAACCAGAGGCTCACAGGAAAGATGAATGTAAAGGATGAAGAGAAGGATTAGGAAAAGCACCTCTCTGCTCCTCTCTGCTTGACTTCTCCCTCTCTACAAGTCTACCAGAAAAAAAATCCAATCAAACTCCTGCACATGTGATCCCAAGGGTCAAGGCCTAGTGCTGGGCAGACAGCAGAAGGTTGGAAAAATAATTCCTTCCAGACAAAATGTGAACACAATGAAGAAGGGACTGGCAGAGGTAGGAACAGGAGTATTAAGGAGCATAGGCTAGTCAGAGTGGGTCTGTAGAGTGAGTACAGTGAAGAGATAGGAAAATGGGGAGAAGCAAGCAAAGAAACAGTGGGTTGGGGGAAAGGATTAGTGAGAAGCAGGGAAGTCTCAGAGGTTTGTCATATGGGATTAAGACTCACTTTTTTGGGGGGACCAGGAATCAAACTCAGGACCTGACTGTGCCACTGAGCATATTTCCAGCCCCAGAGTCAGAGGTTTGAGAACACAGGCCAGGGGAGAGGCGGAGAAGTTAAGGGTCAAAAGAGGATAGGCAGGACACTGGCACACACCTGGAATATGAGCAGAGGATCAAAGTTCCAGCCTATGGGGCTGGGGAGATAGCTCAGTAGCATAAGTGTTTGCCTGACAAGCACAAGGGCCTGAGTACAATCCCTGGTTCTGAAAAAAAAAAAAAAAAAAAAGTTCAAGCCTAGCCTGGGCGACTCAGTAACTTGGCAGGAACCTGTCTCAAAATTTAGGAACTGGGGATATAGCTCACTGTGTACGCCTTGGGTTTAGTCTCCAGTACCACAAAAACAAAACAAAACACAAGGAAAAGATCAAGGAAAAAAAATAGAAAAAAGAAAAACAAACAAAAAAAGATCAAGGATCAGTGGGAGATGTCAGCAAAAGACAAGAGGTCAGGCTAGGCATTACCTGCTTACGAGGCGGTTTCGGAGCCATCTCAGAAGCAAGAAGCACCTCAACCCCTAGAAAGTCTATGAAGCGCTCTTTCGCCTGAGGACAAGAAGTTTGTCCGTCTCCTTGCCTACACTCTGGAAATGCAGACTCACTTCCACTACAATTCTCAGTCAGCAGGGGTTCCCTGGGGACAGCTGTTGCTGTGGGTCCCCGAGCCCTTGTAAGGCAGAATCAACTCCTCCCTGACGCGGTTACCCAGCAACTGACATGCAGCCAAGGCGCAGGCGCCGAGATCATCCGCCCAGACAGCCAGGCGAGAAGGCGGGTCTGCGCGCGAGGGAATACGCCTGTGCCACTAAGCCCCGCCCCCAGAGTAACAACTCCCTGCCTTGCGCTTTCAGAGCCCCCGCCTATGGGCGGGACTGAGGCACCAGGACCCCGCCTTCTTATGAATAATGCAGTATCCGGGCGGTGTCCCGGACCCGGAAGTGGAGTTGCCGAGTCACCGCAGTGGCTGAGCTGCTGACAGGAGGCGGCGGCGGAGGAGGAGGCGAGGCAAGACCTGCAGCTCGGCCAGGCCACCGCCGCGGTAGCGCAGGGCAAGCCCGCGGAGCCACGCCGGCCTTAGCCCGACTGTGAATCTCGTGCCCCCAACCCACCTGTCTATCCGCCTCGCTGCCTGCCCGCCCGATTCTTCCGGGGCGGCCTAGTCTGCACCACCCGCGGGGCTCTTGGGGCCCCGCGCGGTCCAGTCGGCGTCCCCGGCTGCGCCCGGCCTCTGGCCCGCTCGCTTGCCGGCACCATGATGGAGGAGATCGACCGGTTCCAGGTGCCCACCGCGCACTCTGAGATGCAGCCGCTGGTGAGGGGGCGGGCGGCGGGCAGGCCAAGGCCGGGAGGGAGCGCCCCCTGAGGGGGACGGAGGGAGGGAGTCAGGCCGTGGGGATCTTGCCAAAGATAAGCCTTCGGATGGGGATCAGCCCTAAGAACTCACAACCGGAGGAGGGGAAATTGCAGGACGAGAAAAGCGTGGGAGAATGCGCAAGGTGCAACCAAAGGGACCCAGAAGGGCGGAGGGCACCGTTGGTGGAGGCCGAACGCCGTAAGGAGGAACGGAGGGCGGCACAATGGTGCACACCAGTAGTGGAGGCGGATAGAGGAGGATGGCTAGGAAACTGTCACGGGGCGCCGCGGGCCGCAGGCACCTGGGCACCGGGGGCTGGGATGGGAAGAGGGAAGGCGTTTAGCCTTGGAGGCCTATGATGCTTAGGGCGGGGGAGGGGCGGGGAAGCCTTCAGGCTGAGAGGGACTGGGAATAGGTTTTCAGAAGAGGAGGAGCCTGCCTGCCAGTCTGCTAGATGAGGACGGAAACACCGAGCTGGGGCCAGGGACCGATGGAACTAAAGGTCAGTGTAGGATCCGGGAATTCCGTTTTTCTCCAAAGGGGAGCGCGGGCAGTCCAGGATGAGGGCATCGGAACCGGGAAGGAAAGTGTGCGGCAGCGACTTGGAGAGTCAAGTGTGCAGATGAGAGCGCTCGGGTACCGACAGGAGAGGAGGTGGGGATGCGCCGGGGCGGCCTGTGCCCACCGTTTCAGACGAGCACCTGTCGTCCTAGGCCTACATGCTTGGAGTCTTTGCTCTGCACCGATCCTGCTGCCTGTCCACGGTCCCCGAGTCAGGGAGGAATGATGTCATCGCTGCCGGCGCCTAGGGGATGGAAGGGGGAGGGTGACGTGGGTTTATGGAGGCCAGGCCTAAAGGAGATCTTACCCTTTGGCTAATGCCCGAGGGGTCGGTGAGTGGAGGCTACCTGACTAGTTTGTCTGCCTGGCAACTGGATAGGAAATGCAGAGGCCTAGCTGCTGATCTAGAGAAGGGTTACAGAGGGAGGGCTCAGGCTGTGCTCCTTCAGTGCACCCTCTCTCCTCTTGCAGTCCCAGCTAGCAGGAGCTGGTAGGAGGGAAGGCAGGTCACCAATCTAAAGGTGCGGATACTGTATTTTTCCTTTTGTGCTGGAGCTGAGCTCTCCAAGTCCTGAAGTCTGGGGCTTTAATAAAGACTGCTCCCTCTGTTAGGTTGGGTGACCAGGAACTTGTACCCTTGGGCTGGCTGCCCCTTGGCTGAAACCATGCTTTGTGGCTTTTTAAGGCAAGGGCAAGTAATCTGGCCATTGTGGTAGCCAATATGGGCCTTGGCCAGGAACATAACCATATATATGCCACACCTTTTGGGGGATGGTAAAATCATTAGTGGCCACCTATTTAGAGATGAATGGCAGTTTTTTCCCTTTTTGAGACTATTTATTTATTTATTTATTTTTGAGACTATTTAGTTCTAGAAACCAAATCAGAAACATACAATATTAACAGAAATGTACAATCTTAAATTAAGAACAGAGATGTTGCAGAACTTTTGCCTTGCTTGATATCACCATTGGATTATTTGGGAGCCAGATAATCCTGGAGAAAACTTTGTCCCATGAACCTGAAGGACTTTGGGCTAGGTTAGAGTAACTTTTCTTAATGGATTCTCTATCCATCCAGTCTTACTTGTCAAACTAGATTGTCCAATTCTGAGTTTCTAATCAAGAACCAAAACAGAGGGTGAGTAAGAGAGTGAGTAAAAGTCAGGAAAATGTAACAATGAGTTAATTCTGGTCTCTTGCCTGGGGTTCTGGAGAAGGGAGGTAATAGCTGTCCAAAGAAAGGGAAGAAATGCTAGGGCCACCAGGATCTCTCTTTCTTGCCCTTGCTGCCTCTGGTATTGCCTGAAGTTTGTTGGTTGTGTTTTGTTTGTTTTTTGAGACAGTCTTGCTATGTAGATCAGACTGGCCTTGAATGCACTATATAGTCCAGGCTGACCTCAAACTCACAGCAAAAAAACCCACTCCTTCCAGGACTACAGGCATGTGCTACCATGCCCAGCCTTCCCTGAAGGTCCTGATAGCAATTTGTATGGGTAGAAAACTTCTGAGCTGCTTTTGGTCTGTGTGGCCTGGAAGTAGCAAATTAATTTGTAGCAAGAAGATATTTGTTAGTATCTCATTAGCTAGAAAAGGTCTCCATCACTGAGCTACAGCCCAACTCTATTTATTTTATTTACTTATTTAGAGACAGAATCTTGCTAAATTCCTGGTTTTAAACCTATAGTCCTTCCGCTCTAGCCCCCAGGGTTGCTGGGATTACTGGTGTGTGCCACTGCATCTGACTTAGACCCTTTTCTTAAAAACTAAAGTACTCGTTATCTGCAAGATAATACTTTCTTGAGGTAGAGTACATTTTTGTGGAAATAGTAATATAGCCAGTCCCTATATGAGGCCCATAGACATTGCCCTACTTCTTGACTTCTGTCCCCAGGTTGTAGTCCAGAGACATCCCTAAACTCTTTAAATGCCCTGTATTTTATTAAGATCAGTGGAATCTTTTGTGGCATTTCCCCAGGAGCTTTCATTTGGGGCATAACGAATCAAGAAACATACTATAGAGGCAAAGAGCAAAATGGATCTTTAGGGTATTTGAGCAGACCATAAAAACTAGAGTACCAGGCTTGAACTATGCTATGAGCTATTTTATTTTATAGTCCTTTAGGAAATCTCTTGTCTTCTCTGGGCTAAAATGAAGACAAACTATCTATTAAAATTTAAACAATAGCTCCTCATTCTCCCATCTTAAAAAAAAAAAATCAGTCTGACACTGCTGATTCAGCAAATTTATTTAACAAATAATTATTGAGCATCCATTCTTCCAGATACTGCACTAGATATTAGGGACATGGTGACACAGACATGGCCTTGCCCTCCTGGAGCTCAGTTAGTGAGTTAGTGAAAGTTTCTCTTACGTTCTTGGTGAGCTCCCCTGAGGGGAGAATAGACTATTTCCTCAAGTTTGGAGAGTAATAGAACTATTATCCCTTTTAGCACCCAGCTGTGTGGCTAGAGGACTGTTATTTAGGATCAATCATCAAATAGCCCTCCTCCCACACATAGTGGTGGAAGAATCGAGAGACCATTCTTTACTTGGAAAGATGGAACTGTAGGGGAAAAGGAGAAACTTTTTTCTTTTTCCTTCTCTCACTCAACAGAGAAACTCAGCTTGGAAAGGAAGCCTGGGGGAGTGGTAGGAGCTGAGTGAGAAGGCACAGCCAGCCCAACTGGGTGTTTCCAAGGTGCTAATTTAAGCATTAGCTCTCAGCTAGTGGGAGGAAAAGGAAAAGATCCCACCCCTATTGCTGCTGCTGTTGATACAGCTGTATGGAGCCTCTTGTCAGAAGTGGGTGTTTACCTCAAAGGAGTGGCTTCCTGTCCTTTCCCCATCATACCAATTACTTAATTGGCCTGGCTGCATCTCAGCAGCTGAACCAAGCCTGGGCCTACCACTGACTTCCCCAGGGTCTCTTCCTATCTCCTTATGGAAAAAAATGAGAGCTCTTGGCAACCTGTTCCTTAGGCTCCAGTCTTGCTGTCTTCTCATAGGCAATCCTGAGTGGAACTGAGAGCAGATATTCCCCAAGAAACTTTGGAATGGCCTGCTTTATATGTCAGTTCTGTGTCTGAGCCATTCACCTTATTAACCCAGGGAAGTTCCCAGTTGCTCAAGGCAGTGGAGCAATTGGGTTGACATTGGGCTAATTTGTATGAGTACAGGCATAGGCTGCACAATCTGTGTCTTTGGCTGGTGTTGGGAAGAAAGATTTGTTGCAAGAAAAACAAGTGGAGCTTTTAAGCACTTAATTGTGTTGGCAACACCCTGCCTCCTGTGTTCTCATAGACCAAAGACACTTAAAGAATAGCATAAGGCAATATAGAGGGCCTCAATGCCTGAGAGAAATGCTAGTAGAGCCTCTCTGAACTAGATTATTTGTTAACTTACTGTTTAGTTTGTGAAAATTTGCTATGTATCTGCTCAGTTCCTGGGTCTTCAAGGTTGCAGAACCAAGTTAAATCCCTACAGTAGATAGGAGAAGAACAGGCTCCAATGGTGATAGGAAGGTTTTTAGATACATGTTAGAAATAGGGCCAGGGATACAGCTAAAAGGCACAGTGTCTGCCTGGCCAGTGGAAGGTTCTGGGTTTGATTCTTGGTACCACAAAAATAAAACAAAACAAAAAAACATAGTAGACATTGATGGAGGCTTTTCTTGAAAAAGACTGACACTGCCCTTGGGAGAAGATGAGGAATGTGGAGTCTCTTCCCTTTGACTACTGGAGCCTGGAAAGGAGTTACAGACTACTGCTGCCTTCTGCTATTGAGGGAACAGGGATAATCAGGTTGCTAATTGAGTGAGTGGTTCATGGTAGCTCCTCAAAGTGGCAGAAGAAGCACATAAAGATGGCAAATGGAGGGACCGGCCAAATAGCTCAGCAGATTAAAGTGCCTGCAAGCAGGTGCAGGGGCAGGGATTCAATCCCGGACCTGCTGTGCAGGCCCTGCCCCTGGGCACACTGAAATGGCAGTTGAAACTGGGCGTGGTGGCTTGTGCCTGTAATCCCAGCTCTTGGGAGGCTGTAAGCAGGTGGATTACTATGAGTCTGATCTAGTAGTGAGACCCTGAACACCCTCTAGACCCTTCTTTAAAATACCAAAAAAAGGTGACAAATGGCCTTATGTGGCTCATAACCCAGCAGTATTTGTCAGGCTCCTGGGGAAAGAACTCCTTTATTTATTTACTTTTTATTTTTTATTTTTTGACAGAACCAGGGATTGAATTCAGGCCCTTGCACTTGCCAGGGAAGCGTTTATTCCACTGAGCCATCTCCCCAGCCCCTAGAACTCCTTTACATATCTTCCTTTGTTGCAAACGCAGCATCAGCTTTGCTCTCGTTCTCACCCACTTATCACTTGTCTCCTTATTTAAGAAACAG